AAGCTTTCCAAAAAACCATGATAGGTTGCCCTTGTTTTCAAAGAACTGAGCTTTGATATTAGATAGTAATGGTATGGGTAGTGCATCCCCAATTGGGATAGCAAGTCCAGATGAGCAATATAGGTTTTGAAAATAAAGACTGAACTTTTCTTAACCTACTTCACTTGTACTGAGTGACCTCATTTCACTCACTTAACTTTTCTATTTTCCAGTGTGGCGTCTGCCATACAGTAGTAATAACAGAGTTATTTCAAGGCTCAAGAGAGTCTACTTATATGATAGTTCAGGGGGAAATGAAAAATACTCCACAATGGAAATATTGTAATATATATATACATTATATATATACATATATATATATATATTACAGCAGGCTGGTATTATGAAAACCTCAGAGTTTGGGCCTAAATTTTTAACTTTTGGTTTTGTTACTCACCAGGATAAGCTTAATTCAACAATCTTTTTATACTCATCCTACATTACAGAAGTATTTTCAAAAGGAAATACATATCTATAACCCTTTAGAAAGAACAAAAATGAAAATATATTTTGAGTCATCAGGTTTATTACATACTACACATATATACACATATGTTTAGAGGGCCATACATGGCAGTGCTCAGGGCTTACTTCAGTGCTCAGTAATCTCTCTTGGTGGTGTTTTGGGGACCATACATCCTACCAGGAATTAAATCTAGGAATGGTCGTGGGCAAGACAAGTGCTTAACCCCTGTGTTATCTCTCCAGCCCACCCATCACAGTAAACTACACTACTGCTGTGATCATCACTACAAAGGATAATCTCACAACAACATTACATGCACATTAGAATATGAACTCCAAATAAAATTAGTATGAGTTAAGCGGATGATGAACAATAAAAGTATGCTTTACTTTCATCATAGTTTATCGCTCAGTAAAAAAAAAATCATAGTTATTAACATCATTAGTTATAGAAACCAGAATTTAGACATAAATGAATGGCATAAGGCCAAAATATTATCAACATTACTTCAATTTTATAAAGTAAACAAATAATTGTTTTAAGAAAAATAAGCTCTCGGGGGCTGGAGCAATAGCATAGCAGGTAAGGCGTTTGCCTTGCATGCGGCCAACCCAGGTTCATTTTCCAGAATCTTATATGGTCCCCCAAGCACCGTGAGGAGTAACTCCTGGGTACAGAGGCAGGAGTAGCCCGTGTGCATCATTGGGTATGACCCAAAAAGCAAAAAAAAAAAAAAAAAAGAGAAGAAAAATAAGCTCTTTTAATAAAATTTTAAACATTATGTCACCAAATGTCAGTGAAAAGTGTGCTAAGCTCATAAAACTATTCATCAAAAAATATACAACAGTATTAGCCAACATAAAAAATGACCTAGACATATTTCCATCTACTCAAACTATATCTAAGTACAATATCCATATATATCTGCAAGGCTCCTAAGTTGTTCAATCCATTTGTGTATGTGTATTGTTACAAAATTATTACCAGGTTTTACTCTTTTTATCACTGATTTACAAAATTATCCATAGTAGTTCCAGAGACATAATGTTCTAAACCCAATTTCATTACAAATCTTGTATCTCTTTCTTCCATCCTTTTAATTTAAATATTGACTAAATATAACTGTTAACTATAAAATAACTACTTCTTAATATAAACTTTTGGTGGGGAGGGATGCACACTCAGCAGTGTTCAGGAGTTACTCCTAGCTCTGTACTCAGAAATCACTTGTGGCAAGCTAAGAGAATCAAATAATTTTATTTTAAAGTAAAAACTAATTAAATTGGTCTAAAAAATGAAAGTCAACAAACATGCTATAGTCTCTTTGAAAGGAAGATGAAAATTTAGTAAAACTACATGCTTATGAGTGTATTCTTTTAAAAGGGGTCAGATGCTAAAAAAAATAATTAAAGGAATAGAGGTTAAACCTATGTTTTGATATAAATCAGCTGAAGAAAAGAACGCCAAAATTTTCAATCATGTGAAGAAATTTTAAAACATACTGAGAAGCAAAGCAAGATGTACAATATCGGTTGTGGCCAGAATGATAGTACAATGGGTAAGGTATTTGCCCTGCAAGCATTGATCTGGATTAGATCCCAAGCATCCCATTTGGTCCTCCAAGCATTGCCAGAAGTGATACTCCTGAGCGTAGTCACAAGTGAGCCTGAATACAGCTGTGTGGTCCAAAACCCAAAAATAAAAATAAAATTTAAAAAATCGATTATGATGATAAAAATATACCCAGATACATCAGTAATCCTACTAGGTACATACGGAGTAAATGCACCTCTAAAACACCAGCATTTCAGAATGTATCTCAAGACTATACTCTAAAGTCGCTAGGCATGCACCACTATTTCCTCTGACAAGTGATGGCAGAGGGTGGGGGTTGAAATCAGAAGAAAATTAAATTCCTAATTTAAATGTGACTACAAACCAAGTACACGATATTAAAGAAATGGTGACATTTGTACATTTGTCTTTGATAAGTCAGCTTGTTTAGACCTCTTCAGCTTTTCCCCTAGTGCACATTCTGCTTTATACTCTAGTTATGGCCTTTATCGGTGTACCCAAGTACACTGTTTCCTTCTCAGTAGGAAGCTGCTCTTCAAATGACTTCAAGCCTGAACATGTACCAAAAGCACTTCAAGAAAACCCATGATAAGAGCCTGTCTTTAAGTGCTCACAAGACTTCTGACTGCCCTGGTGCTCTCCTACACTGAAGAAAGCAGCAGTGTAATTGTGATGAAACACCCAATTCTCTTTTAGGCCTACCTCCTCCTATAGCATCTCCTTTCAGTTCCTATCAGTAAATAGCCAGTCCTATCCGTACTGTGTAAAACTGAAAACAGCACTCATTCCCAGGATCCTACAAAGAAAGGGAATGATTTTGAAAGTAGGAGCCCTAAAGATCTGCATCTATAATACAGGCTTTGCTCCCTTAAGTTCTGCAGTAGCAAGATAATGTGTTGTCACTCTTTTTTTATTTTATTTTACTTTATTTTATTTGCCTTTTGGGTCACACCCGGTGGTGCACAGGGATACTCCTGGCTCATGCCATTCAGGAATTACTCCTGGTGGTGCTCAGGGGACCATATGGAATGCTGGGAATCAAACCTGAATCAGCCGCTTTTAAGGCAAATGCCCTATCCGCTGTGCTATCACTCCAGCCCCTGTGTTGTCACTCTTACTAGGAAACTAGTTTGACTTTGTGAAGAGCAAGGCTAAGAAACTAGCTATCCCAAACAGGTTAAAGAGCAGGGAATCATTGGTTTCATTAAGGTGTACGGTCCTTTATTAAGGACATAGCCAAAACAAAACAAACACAAAAAAAAATTTTTTCGTTACAGCAAAATTCTCCATTCAAAAAAAATGGAAGCACAGGTCAAGGACCTCAGGTACATCAGTAACCTGTATCAATATAGCTCTATCACTGAGGGAGTGATATAGCTTGATATAGCTATATATCCAAACAACAGAGTTCACAACACCGAAAATGTGAGATCCAAACTACGACCACAAATCTTTAGACTGTGCCTGTCAAGGTGGCAGGTTGGGGGCCAGGTGGGGTGGACTTGCCTTGCATGAGGCTGCCCTTGTTTGGGTTTCAGGACCAAATCTGGCCTTCCAAGCACTGCCAGGAATTATCTCTGAGCACAGGGTCAGGAGTAAACCCTAAGCAAAGATGGGAGTGGCATCAAACCACGCAGAAAAATTTAAAAGAAAATGTTAATTAACTGAAATTATTCAGAAGAACTACCTGTTACCTTTATTGTCTTTTGTGAATATTTGCATTTAAAATATAGATGTACAGTAGTTGGACATTAAGATTATTATATTTATCAATAGGAATGAAAGCCCATTATCATAATCTAAAGCACGCGCAAATCTCTTACAAGAGAGAAAATATGTACATATATAACATATATAAATAAATACACACACAACATCGAGAGCAACCACATCCTCTCAGTGCAAAAGCTAGTTTCACTTTTGTTTATTTTCCATTTTTTATGATTTGGGGCCACACACTGAAATGTTTAGGAGTAATTTCTGGCTCTGTGGTAAAAAATTACTCAGGTGATGCTTGGAGGATTATATACAGTGTCTAGCTATCAAACCATGATCGGTCACCTCCAAGATAAGTACCCTAACCACTGTACAGTCTTTCTCACCCTGCAAAAGCTCTCTGGATAATAAAAGAGGAATTAGAATATCATTAAATTTTAAAAACAAGTCAGTACTAATAATGATAACACTAGTGCTATGTTATTTTATAGTTTTTTAGATTTTTTAAAGATTTTAGAGGTGGTCAACGTTCTCATTTTAAGGGTTTATAAATTAGTCCCTAAAAAAGTGAGTACTTACTCAAAAGAAAGAGTAACTAAACTACAAACATAATAAATAACAGAACATAATATAGTTGTTACTTCAGAAATTTATGATGGTGTTAAGGTGAAATTATACCAGGAATCTGACATATTAGGTACTACATCAATTGACTATATACAACAAAAACACAAGGCATTCTGAAATTATTTCTTTATATTAAGACCAAGAAAACGTATGGATTCTATAATTTCACATAATAAATTTACTTTGTGCATAAAAAAAAGTATTTGAGAGAAATAAAGTGTCCTATTCCTTAAATTAGATAAAAAGAAAAATCCAAAACACAGATTTATCCTCTAGAAGTTGAAGCTTGATAAAGAAAATTTATATTGTATGAAGACTACTAGTTTTTTCCCCCTGTGGAACATAACCTTTAACATGCTAAATTATAGCTAAATTATGAAATCCTCAGGATAATTCTGAGGTATTATGTCAGGAAATACAAAGTATTTCAATTTCCAATTTCATTTCTAATATAGTGGTTGTTATGTCACCCCTTAATGTGTTAGACTGAGATAGATATGCGTTCACATGCCTAGAGGCAGGCATGCGTGCGTGTACACACACATGTGCATGCACACACACAAAGCAAGGTACTTACTGAGCTGTAGAGATAGCCTTCACCATTCATAGCCACATAGAGGCTGGCCTTCACCCCCTGGATGGCCACCACACGAAGGCCCACAGGAATTAGATTGAAGAGAGCTAAGGTGGGAGGGAGGGGACAAAAAGAAAGGATTGGTGTTAGTAACCTTATGAATAAGTCATTATGATTGTTTCTTGGGAAAGAGAACAGTGGGTTTTGGTTGATGAGTGAGAACTAAATTCTTGTCACCAGCATTAATCACCCATGTGACTTCAGTAAGTCTCATAAACTCATCTGTATTAACAGTGCTACATTAGATGATTTCTAAGGACCTCATTTGCATCAGAAAATCCAAAATCTCAACATATTAAATGGGGAAATATGAGGTGAATTTTTAAAAAATAAATAACTTGAAAGAATTGCTGCAAGAGTAGAAAATGAATTTGTAGTCATAAGCAAGTATCAAGAAGTAAACCCCAAATATGTTACAGGTATAGAAGGATTCAATTTCTAGCAACTGAAACAGAGATATTTTTGGTGGGGGGGAAGTGCTCTTTGACTCTGTTTTCTCATTTATGGAGACTAGATCTCAGTAGAGGCTCAATAAAAGACTCAATTTTCATTTGAACTATTCTTCTCATGTTCTTACCACTGTCCCTGTGTTCCTAAAATAACTTAGGAAGTACAAGACCTTAAAATCTAGTCAGGGAGAGAAAATTCAAGACATATGGAATAATCTGATACAGTGTATAATTTATTTCTATAATTAAATGTACTATATGCATTTCTATATATACATTCCCTATGTTACAGAAGTTCAAGAAAATGAAAGATCTTTGTGGCCTGAAGTATTCAGGCAATGTATGACACAGAAGATTTAGTTAGACTAAGTTGAAACTTAGTACACATAAATGTCCAGAATAAAATGACAGTTCAGTATTACATAAAGTCAGGTAGTTCTGCAGGATGATGAAAAAGGGGTCAGATTAAAGTTTGTAGTTCACAGTAGGGAGAAATTGGTGAGGGGGTCACATAGATAAAATCCAGAAAAATACCACTATGTACTTTAGCAAATGGGTAATAGGAAGTTCAAGTATACAGATTAAGCTTTATAAAATTAGAAAAATGGAATTACAAATGGAATTATAAAAAGGGCAGGAGATTTCCAAGTGATATTGATCCCAGCAAATAGTAGCCATGTAATTTTGTCACTCATCTTCTCGTACCTGAGTTCCTAACTGTAAAATGGGCATAATAATCGCTACATAGTTGATAGGATAAACTCATTATCATGTTATTGAAAGTGTTTTCTAAACAAAAATATATTTCATCTATATAAAATTTAATTTTAATATATGATTCATCTGCTTATTTAATACTATGCACCTAGTGTCTGATATGAAAACTGACATATCACCTCAGTCATGTCTATTGAGCTCAGGTTCGCAAGTTTGCTTAATACTTCGTGCAAAACTGCTTTTCAAAGTGTCGATACTTTGGTCCTTAACCACAAAGGTATAAAGAATCTATAGCAGAACAGCGTCTCGACAAAGGTTTTCTGACACTCTGCTGTGACATTCTGGCCAAAATATCATATTTTATCATTTTCCTTTTAAATCGAATGCCCTCTAATATCTATTCTTAGCTTCATACAAAGTAATATATGATCTTGCTACATTTTCTTACATATCATGCAGTTTTCTATGATTACAGAATCACTATCAATAATGTGCAGCTTTAAGGGTCTTTATATGTCCCAAGCTTCTTCATTCAACATATCTTATAGGTGTCTTTTGCCCTCTGTGCAACCCTTTCCTTCACTGCTGCTTGGGTGGAATTGGCTATGGGGTAACTGAATCATTTCAGACCATGAAAACAAGGGCTGGTCCTAGGGGAGTGGTGGCAAGTGTGCTGTAAAGAATAGGTCCCAAGGGACTGTGTGGAGCATGAGCACAAGTTCAGCATTCAATTGTTTAGCTCTCGCTTTTATGTGAGAAAATAAGGCCTTGTTATTTTCCTCTGTACCATACGAACTTGATTCTAATCATTGTAGATACCAACAGCTAAAAACAGCAGATTTAGGAAACAAACTATGCATAAGGAATATACTTATATATTGGAAATAAGTACAACTACTGGAAAGTACAAAGTTCAATGTTAATTCCTTTTTCTGATGCCATTACTTTATTTGTTTTTGATGACTAAACATAGCCCTGGGGTCCAGAGGCCCTCGAACCATTTCTAGAAATACAACTAGCCTGGATGAAGGAGCATGAGCCATGCACATGTAAGGAATTCATCCCTGACCACTAAACCGTCTTCCTAGCACAACAGCAATAACTGTTTTGAGAAAAAATAATGCAACCCAAAATTGTGCATGTCTCTCTATAAAATAAAAATTTTCTAAGACAATTGCTAAGAGCATAGATTCATTCTGGTGAAATGGGAATGAACAAAGCAATGATAAAGATTTTCCTATCTGAGAAGTGTTAGAAAACTGTTAAAGGCAAGCGGCACACAAAGAACTTCTATGAAAGTTTTATATGAATCATAAAGTGATAATGGCTTTTAGATGGTATGCTTCAGGAAACACAACAAGCCCATTAAAAAATAAATGTAAAATTTGGTATGAGACTTTTTTTTCTGGCAAAGTTAAGAACAATTCTCTTTGGGAAGGTATGTATTGGACCTCTAAAGTCTCAAAAAGTGACAAGTAGCTTATTCTTACCTTTAAAATTTTATGTTCAGTGTAGCATATACTCTGGGGCTGGAGCCATAGCCCAGCGGGTAGGGCATTTGCCTTGCATGCAGCTGACCCGGCAGATCCGGGTTCAATTCCTCCGCCCCTCTTGGAGACCCTGGCAAGCTACCGAGAGTATCTCGCCCACACGGCAAAGCCTGGCAAGCTACCCATGACATATTTGATATGCCAAATTATTCACTAAGAATTATTATTCTCCAGTTATAATCTCCATATTCACAGTGACTGTCCCAACTCATAATAAAACTAGGCCACATCACTCTTGAAGACATGATCTGCACATGTCATTTCCCTCATTAAACCTTTAGTGTCTATCCAATTTTTGTAAGATGGATCTAAAGTCTCACCTTCTATGCCCTTCACAACCTGGTCTCAACCCATGTGAATCAACATAAGATATGGTTACAAAGCTTTCATGATTGGATTTCAGTCATACAATGTTCCAATACCCATCCCCTCCACCACCAGTATACATTTCCCAATCTCAACATCCCCAGTATTATTCCCACCCCTTACCCCCAGTATTGCCTCTACAGTGGGCACTTCTCTCCTCTCTCTCTCTCTCTCTCTCTCTCTCTCTCTCTCTCTTTCTGTCTCTGTCTCTTTCTGTCTCTCTGTCTCTCTGTCTCCCCCCCCCCCTTTGCGCTTAATGGCTTACAATACAGATCCTGAGAGGCCATCATGTTTGTTCCTTTACCCACTTTCAGCACATATCCCCCATCCTGAGTGATTCCCTCCAACCATCATTGTCATAATGATCCCTTCTCTATTCCAACTGTCTTCTCCCTAATCCCTTGAGACAGGCTCCCAACAGTAACAATCCTCTTGGTCCTTGTTTCTACTGTCCTTCATTGTTAGTCCCTAACTATGATTTTTTTTTACATCCAACAAATGAGTGCATTTTCTGTCCCTCACCTTCTGACTCATTTTGCCAGCATGATACTCTCCATGTTGATCCATTTACAAATTAATTTCATGACTTCATTTTTTTCTAACAGATATATAGTATTCCATTGTGTAGCTGTACCCTAGTTTCTTTAAACAGTATCAACCCACCTTCAACTCATCTTCTGTACTTCATTTCCTGGAAGATAACAACCTCACAGAGATTTTTTGCCATTTACAAAGTTCTTCCTTGATCATTAACAAAACTGGATTCCCCCCCACCCCTTGCCTATTATTTTATAAAACCTTTCCACTTGGAAATTTGGCTATTTTCATCCTTTTAAGACCTATTTTACTCAAGTGTCCCATGATCTTACCTAGATACTTCAGGCATAAGTGTTTCCTTTTTCATAATTGTTTAATTCAGGTATATCACTTGATAATGACTTTGGAAGATGGAATTATTGTTATTTTCTTTCACATATATCTCTGTTCTTAAAATGAAAACTCTTAAGAGTAGGCCTTTGCAATTTATGTTTTAATAATACGAACATATTTTTACTCCAGTAAATACTACTAATTTCAAGGGTGTTTAAAAATTACTATTTCTAGAAACTTGGGTTTTCTTACTGAAATAAAAACAAGTTTTTTAGGATAAAAATAAAAAACTTAAGGGCCAAAATGATGCCAGATTCGCCCACCTTCTACTTAGGTCCAACGTGGCCATAACCCAGAGACAAACAGAAATCTCAGACCCAAGCAACTTGCGGCAGAGATGGCCCGGGACTTTGCAATAGGCCTTCTCCACTGGGCCGCTCCAGATGGGGGCAGGTGCTATCATACCACCTGCCCTCTAAGTGCTCCAGTGGTTGCCATTTTCTAGAAGCCAGCAAGAAGCACCAGCTCCCACGTGACCATGATCCAGAGACACACACAGGGATCTCAGACCCAAGCAACTTGTGGCAGTGATTTCTTCAAACCCTAATTATTAAAATCTCAGAATTCCTAGAGCACGTGGATGCTCTTGCAGTCATACAACATTATATAATATCCTACAAAACACATTGTCTAGCAATTGTATTTTAGGCAGGTATGAGGGGAGGTAGGACTGGTCTCAAAATATCGAAGGTAACTAAAGTAGAGAAAGAATACTTTGCAAATTGTCTGCAACACAGGCAGGGAGAGGTGTGGAATGGGGGAGGGAATACTGAGGATTTTGGTAGTAGAAAATGTGCACTGGTGAAGGGATGGGTGTTTGATGACCATATGATTGAAGTTCAAACATGAATTTTTTGTCACTGTATCTTACGGTGAATTAACAAAAAAAAAAGTGGGGTGGGAGATATAAGAGCCAAAAGATAGTATAGTGGTTACTAGCTTACATGAGACCAGGTTTGATCCCTGAAATTACACAGTATCACCTGTCCCTCCCATGGAGGCTGCTGAGAACAGGTGGTCCAGTTAACCATGCAG